CCCTTTGTTTTGCTTAGCTTAGCTTGTTCTAAGTAGGAGCTTTAGACCACTGAGCCATCTCACCAGCCCAATAAATCTTTTACTACTAAAAGAATATTATTCTTATTATAATGAGAATAATGTTTTGAATATTTGGCATAATAAATGCCTAAAAGACATTTTGTTTTATGAATCTAGTTTTTTCTGCTGTAATGGGGATATTGTAAATTATATGTTTGTATTAATAGTATTTCTTAAAGCAATATATGTAGCTAAACTAAACCAATCTACAAACTGTTGTAGGTATCTATAAATTTTGTTGTAGATACTGTAAAGTTTGCTGGAATCTTAATTAGCAGATTATGTTGTGAATGTATTTGTACATTGTTAAAATATTTTAAAGATGTTTTGTTAAATTGAATAAGTATCTATTGGAGTAGGGACTTGAAAAGTGCATAAGTTTATATTTGTATAAAGCTCTATTATTTACAAAAAAAAAAGAAATAAGGGTAAATCATTGTCCAAATAGACAGATCCCAAGCAAAGGCAGCCTGTGGGATCTCAGAGCAGAACTGGCTATTTTTATTCTGTGCATAGTGACAGCATCTGCTGCTGTTTTATCAGCTTTCTTTGTCTTGAACTTTTCTTAAAAATTTTCAATCATAAATGCTGTACACAACTTCAGCAATCAGCAATAATTTGCCATATTGTTTGTCTTTCCTTCACTAGGGAAAATTCTCTTGGGAGACCAGGGAATGTGGTTCAGTGGTACAACACTTGCCTAGCATGCAGGAGGCACTGCGTTTTAGTACCAGCACCATAAATAAGTAAATAGATAAATAAATAAATGAAATTTTAACAAAAACTTTTAAAGTAATTTTTTGAACATAGTAAAGTGCTCCACAATTCATAATATTAATTTAAACAAGCTTTTTATGCAACTTAGTAAAGTTTGACTAATTAAAAATTAACGATGTGAAACAAGTATTTCTACATTAAAAGACACAATAGTGTTGATGTGCCAGGCTTTTTCCTTTTCCCTGAGATTTTGTAAAATTCTTGAAGATTTTGCTTGGTTTGGGAAAACTATTATTTATTTAATATTTAAAATTCTTATTTTTAAAGGGAATACTGAAAATACTTCTGAGGGGCTGGTGAGATGGCTCAGTGGTCTAAAGCACCTACTTAGAACAAGCTTGGCAGAGCACAGTGACCGCGGTTCAATCCCCCAGCACCACATGCCAGCCAGCCGCACCCCCTGGTGGGCTGAGCTGGACACACACACACACACACACACACACACACACACACACACACACAAATAAATGAATAAAATTTAAAAAAATAAATAAAAATACTTCTGAAAACCCACTAGAAATGATATAAAATTTCACTAAAAAATGATAGGAATTTCATAATGGCTGTTATATTGCATAATGCTGCCTTCAAATTAGTTGTTCAGATTAGCAGGTATAAGCCTGTAAGATTGGTCAAAAAATATTAAAAAGGAGAAAAAATGTTTATTAAATGTTCCTTTCAATAGATGAGTAGAAATCAGCTGTACAGTCATCCAAGCTATCTTATGTATATACATATATATTTTTCTCTCTTTCTCAATTTTTGAAAATGGTTTAATTTTGCAAGAAATAAAAAACTAAACAGAGACCCAGTTTTATAGTTTATGTCCACGTGCCCCCAAGGCCTCTTGTGCTCCTAGGTGGGGCTTTGGGAGGTGACTGGTCCATGAGTATGAGGTCCTGGACCACAGGTGTAAGGTATGGGATCGGGCCACTCATGGGTTTACAGCTGAGTATGCCACTGGGAGGTGAAGCCTGCCAGGAAGAGGTGGGTCACTGAGGGTATGGCCTTCCTCCTCCTCAGTGATGGTCCATAGTCCAGCCATGCCCTGGATTATGCCACTTCTGCCAGGCCCCTGTGCCACACCACCCTGTTTTGGAGTCTGTTGATGATGGACTGAAAGCTCTGTAACTGTGAGCCAAAACAAATCTCTCCTCCTCATAGCTGTTGGTGTCTGATATTGTGTCTCAACAAGAAGAAAGTAACTAATACTTGGCATGTAGATTCCCCCATTCTGAGGTGAAATACGATGGGCTCTCACCACAGTTGCTGGACCAGTCAATTAGAGGAGGAGAAGGTCAACCCTGCTTCCTGCTGAGACCTGGCACATGAGTCACCTTCCTGAAGAAATTAATGACTATTTCACAAAGCAGGACACCCGAAGATAGTGGAGAGTATCCATTCAGAAAGAATGACATTGACACCTTAAAAGTTGTAATATTGGAAATCACATGAGACAGGAAATCACAGCTATTCTAGACATAAGCTGATGAAGTCATGTTTGCATTCAGGTTTCACTCAAAGTCGCAAGCCATGAAAAGAGTTTGGAAGGCCTGTGCCTGGTCCTCATCTGAGTGAATGCTCCCCAAGTCTCTTCTTTGTCTTAAGGGGGAAGAGGATGGGAGATGCAAGCCTACTGAAGATGCAGAGAATGCTGTAAATAATCATTGGAAAATATTCTAGGGCCTTGATGTCCTTTTATGTGATGCTCCAATACCCTCCCTATTCAGTCTGATAGAACCACCAAGTCAGGGTGCAGCAGCACTGTTGTCTCACATGCTAGTCCTCAGCAGCCCAGGTCCCAGGGAGAGTCCTGGAGGAAATAGGACTGCTAGAGAAACTTACTCAGTTGCAAAATCTCACAGGCTGATCCTCAGACATACAGCTATGTCATCTTTCACTTGGTTACATGGCATGAGTGAATAACTCCTAACGCCTTCCTAGACACACACACACACACACACACACACACACACACACACTTGTGAAAGTCTATGTGGCAAAACTGCAGCCTCTCCTCTGAGTCACTTCCATCCATACTAGAGGCCTGAGGAGTTCAGATCTTTGTCCTGTGTGCTAATAAAACCTGTGATAGCCACAACTCTTGTCTGGCACTTCCTGGGGCTCACCCCGTGGAGGGTGTGACTTTATGTCTGAAACTGTTGTCTTTTCTGCAGTGCTTCCTTGGTTTTTTTGTTTGTTTGATTTGTTGTTTCTGTTGTTTTCTGAGACAGGGTTTCATTATACAGTTCAGGCTTCAAACTCACAATGTTCTGCTTCAGCCTCCTGTGTGCTGGGATTACAGGGGTGCTCCCTTGGTATGAGGCAGCCTTACTAATGTGTGGAAGAATTCATACACCATGTTCTCAGTTATCCTTCTCTTGTAGTGTTGGGCACAAAAAATTCACATAATAATGAAGAGGTTTGATAATATCTCTTTAGCCTCAGAGTCTGTGTCAATATCATTAGCCCTGGTAAACAGAGGAACAGGCTATACACGAAAAGCAAACTGTGGTTAATCATCCGCAACTAGCAACAGTCATAGGTTTACCACCATTGCTCTAGTTCATCAGTGTTATTTTGATCACTTACTGTTTTTAACTTAAAATTAAGCTTTGTCAAGAGTATGCATGTATGATATAAGCACTGAGCACACAGGCTTGGTCCTCTCAGTGGACTCAGACCTCCCATGGAA